GAGGGTTAGGGGCTTAGGGGGTTCTTGCAGGGCCATTCTTGGGAGTCAGGGAGGAGGCTGGAAACCCAGGGGGCAGGTGGTCTGTGGGACAGTTAGCAACGAGGATGGAGAGGTTTGAGGTGCAGGGAGGGAAGGAGAGACCTCCCCTAACCCGAGGGAGAGGGGAGAGTGAGGAACAAAGCAGGAGCGGGAGGAGTGGGGGAAGCAGAGAGGCTGGGCCCCCTGGCCTTCCCCACAAATCACACACACGCACACAGACCACACACACATACATGTGCACAGTGCTCTTGCATACATACGTGCACATGTATAATACACACTCCCAGGTGTTCATACTCTATCATGCATCCATACACGCGCTGACGCATATACAAACTGAAATGTGCTCTCATACACACTCATAACAAACACTGTCAAAACAAACAAACACTGTCCTCCCATCGTTCGTCGATTTGCTCGAGCGGGCCCAGGAATGTCTCCATTTTGCGACTTGTTACTGTGTCTGGCATATTGAATATACTCTCGGTAGCTTGCCGGGCTCTCCGAACACACTCATACATGCACTCATGAATGCATGCATGTACAGATACATGTTTAATGTACACTTTCAGATGCACATCCTCACGCATGATACTCACACGAGCATATATGCACATGCACGCACTCACAGGCACACAATCACGAGCACACACAAACTCACACATACTGGCTCACGCCCACACGTCCACTCATACACACGTGCACACGTGTGAGCGTGCTCACACATAGACACACACATGCCCACAAGCATGCAGATACATGTGTGCACACACACCTGCACAAATACACACCACACACACACACTCCAGCACACACACAGTCCTGCAGCGGCAAAGTTCAGACTGGCCCGAGGACAGTCCACGCTGGGGGTTTCCGTGAAGGAACAGAAGCTGGGGGTGCCGGGAGGAGAACCAGGGCTTAGAAAGTTGGGGTCACCCTCACGGAGACTGAGGAAGTGAACTGAGAGTTGGGGGGCTGGGAGCCTCGGAAGGGGGTGAGGTAGGGGGGAGGGGAAAAGGGTTGTGAAAGACCAAGATGTGCAGAGGAGGAGCTGGGCTCCGCACAGGAGGAGCTGCTGCTGCCCCCAGTAGCCCACGACCCCAGAGAGAAGGAGCGGCCCGACTCGCCCCTCACCCAGGAGACTGGGGGCGCCAGCCAGGCAGAGCAAGTGACTCAAAAGGAGCACAAAGGCAGAGCCGCCCCGCAGGGAGGCACCTGGCAGGGGGGCCACCTGTTTGCCCCTCTGGGCTGTGGAAACACACTCACTCATGGCCGGGCACGCGCACACGCACATAGACACACACAGATGCACATACACGCGCGCACACAAGCGTGCATGCACGCATGTGTGCTGTCACTTCTGGTCAGGAAACAGGATCGACGCCTGAGGAGGCAAAGAGACGAGGCACCCAGAGACCCACAGAGAGAAGGGGAGACAGAGAGAACAGAGGGAGCAAGCAGAGATCCATGTCACTCTGAGAGACAGAATCCTGAGAGAAATCAGGGAAAGGAACAACGTGGTGGGAGGGCTGAGGAGACACGGAGCAGGGCTGCTGCGAAAGGCATCCAGGGAGCAGCCTGGGGCGAGGTGGAGAAGGAAAACCAGGACGGCCCCGCCACATTGTACACGTCACACCACAACCCACACTGCGCCCCCCCACCACTCACCCACGACACAACTCCGGGTACACACCACAGACCACAACACACACGCCACTCCCACCATCGCCACCACACACACACCACATGCCACGCCGCACACTGGGCCTCCACATCAGGCAGACAGCCCGGAGAAAAGACAACATTTAGATAAAGGCCCAGGGGAGAGGGAAGGAGGGAGGAGAGAGGAAGGAGGAGGAAACCAGAGCCTCGAGGCCTCTTCTGTCTCCCTCTCAGCCCCCTCAGACACACTCACACTCACGCACTCACAGACACACTCACATATAAACATACACAGACACGGTCACACTCACATATACTCTTACACACACACACTCACATATACACATACAAGGACACTCACACATACTCTCACACGCTCACACAAACACATACACACTCACCTCTACTCACATAGGGTCACACTCACACATACACATACTCAGACACATAACACACTCACATATACACATACAAGGACACTCACCCATTACTCACACACTCACACATACACATACTCACACAGACACTCACACATACTTACACTCACACTCACATATACTCGGTCACACACTCACAAACACACTTAGACACACATACTCACCCATATACTTACACATACACATACCCCAGTCACACACACATGCACACTTGCACACTCAAACCCCCCTACCTTCACCCTCTCACTCACGAAGGGGTGGAAGGAGGCAGGGGGAGGTTCCCTGCCCAGAGGCGCAGCTCCTAACCCCAGGCTTTGCCTGGCTTCTGGGCTTCCCCACCCACCCTGCTCCCCCTCCTTCGGGGGTGTCCTCCTGCCTCTGCGGCGCCCACATTCCTGCTAGACAGGAAGCGTCCTGTCTAGGCTGGTCCCAGCAGACTCGACCCCCCAGAGCAGTGCTCAGCGGCGACTTGCTCTGAGCCCTGAGGAACGACGCACTCGGGGAAGGCCCAGTGAGGGCCATGAAAGGCAGAGGAAAAGGCAGAGGGAGGGTAGGAGGGGGCGCAGAGGCCAGGCGGGATGGCATGGGGGAGGGGAGAGGGGCAGGCACATCTGGAAGGCTCATGTGTGCACATATGTGCGCGCGCACACACTGCTCCAGTGAGCGGTCAGTCCCTGAGATGCCCATTGAAAGGAAACACCCAATGCCGGCCTGATGGGGGAGGGGCCGCCGGAAATTCCAGCAGCATGTGCAGTGGGGTGTGCAGAGCACCCGCTGACCCGGCAGACACCAGGCCACATGTGCTGGGGTGGGGGAGATGAAAGCATGAGAGGGGGACCCCAGAGACACGGGGAAGCGGTGAGGGAGGAAGGCAGACAGCAGCAATGCACACCTCCTGGGCGGGGCTAGGGGAATTCAGGATGAAGGCCAGGCCAGGGGGCCTACAAGAGAGAGACACAGAGGCTGGCCAGGGCTGGCATGAAGGAGGCACCCGGAAAATCTGGAAGGGGCCCACGAAACAGCTTTTCTTTTATAATGCCATGAGGAGTGAACTTCTGCTCAAAGATGCTTTGGTCTAGGAGCTGGTGTGTGTGTGGGGGGGTGGGGGGGAACAGGGCTTAAGGCGCCCACCTTCATCCTGCTGCCCCTACCAGGCAGGATCCCCAAGCACTGCCAGGGGTCACTCCTGAACACAGCCAGGAGTAGCCCCTGAGTCCCTCCAGGTATAGCTCCCAACTCCCTAAGCACAAGAAACTAAAACGCTTTCATCTAAACTAGAACCATTTTTTTTTCTTGCTTTTTGGGTCACACCCAGCAATGCTCAGGGCTTACTCCTGGCTCTGCACTCAGGAATTACTCCTGGCGGTGCTCAGGGGACCATATGGGATGCTGGGAATCAAACTCGGGTCGGCCACATGCTAGGCAAACGTCCTACCTGCTGTACTATCGCTCCAGACCCTAAAGTAGAACCATTTCTGCACCAATGCCATCATACCATTGTCAACACTTTTGAAGGCAGGAGGGCCCCACAAAAGTGATGGTTGCATGTCCAGCCTGGGTCTGGGTAAGAACAGACGGACACAAAGGCGAAACTGACATCACAGACAGAAACCAGCGGCAGACACAAACACACAAGCAGAATCCAGAGGCCACAGAGACACACAGAGGCCCAGAGAGGGTGAGGTGGGCTGCCATAGGAAGTGGAAAGAGGGCAGAAAACACCTTGTCGGAGCAGAGGCAGAGAGAGGCAGAGGCTCAGCGGGCGTGAAAGGCACTGACAGGCCGAGGGAGGAGGAAGTGGTGCCTGACCTCAGCGGGAGAGAGCTTTGTCCCTGTCCCCCAGGTTGGGGGCCGCCCCCCTCCAGAGCTATTTGCACTCATGCACCCAGCAAGGAGTGGACAGTGCCACAAGTGCTCCAAACCCAGAGGTCTGCCCGCTCGCTCATGGTCTGCCCACGGCAGTGCCCCCGCTCTCGCTCCTCAGCCGGGGGCTTATGAACGACCTGCTTTGTGTCTGTGCACACTCATCCAGGACCCACTGGCCTATTTCCGTCAAGTCATGTGTTCAGACCCTATGTTGCATGTAGTAATGATACTCAGGTGGGTGCACATCCCCACCCCCAAGAACCCAGGGGCTCACATAACACCCAGGCAGCGTGTAATCGGCTACACAGCCATGGCTGACCAGAACCATCACATCACACTCACAAACATACGAACACACACACACACACACACACACACACACACACACACACACACCAGGAACAGGGTCCACACACAACACAGCTCCCTGCAAGCAAACAGAACAGAGAGAACACAGTAGCACACGTTCCTGTGAACCAACATTAGACAAATGCCACGGGCCTGGGATCTCGGGGTGTCACGAACCCAGTCTCCCTGGCATCTGGCTTGTGAAGATACTGAACTGAGAAGTGTCCTGTTGCAGGATTTTTCTTTCTTTTTTTTTTTTTTAATTAAACAGTAATATCACAATCAGAGGTGACAGGTGTATGGCCTGGAATGAGACAAAGTTCCTTCTGGACTTCTGCAAATGAGCCTTGGACCCTCCGGTGGCGAGGCAGGAGAGGACAGGGGGAGTGTCCAGGCCTGTCCTTGTCCCTTCAGAGCCCCTCCCAGCAGTCGAGCCCTGGCTGCATCCTGGGGGGGGCCCTGACCCTCCTATGCTGTATCCCAGCCTTAAACCCAGCTCCTGTCCCACAAAGGCGGGTGCAGACACACGCAGTGGGTGGCCACAGCCCTGACTACCTCCCGGTCTGGCCTGAGACCCTGGTCCCCTCGCACCCCACCCCTGCAGCTCTCTGGAACACGCTGGAGCCCCATAGACCACTGGTCAAACTGTGAGGTCTGTTGGTGTTTAATCAGACAATATGCAAAGTATTTACAACCAACTCTGGACCACCCACCCTCACCCCCAAAGTCTGGGCCCTGGGATACAGGACCCCCAAGGCCCTGCCCAGAGCCAGGGTCTACAGGCCTCTGCATAGTCATCTGAAATCTACAAAACACTGTTGTTATTTAAAAAACAAACAAAACTAAACAAACAAACAAAAAACAAAGGACAGTATTTGGACACCTTATACAAAGGGCCTGGGGCAGTGGACGGGCTTGTGAGCCTGGACTCCGCCAGTGTGGGTCTATCTGGCTGCACAGGTACACAAGCCTCGGGCAATAAACGCCGTGAAAGGAGAAGTTGGGGTTTCACTCGGGGCACCGGGCGCAGCAGGACCCGGCTGGCTGAGAACCCACAGCAGGACGGTTATTGCTAAGTGGGAACCCCGGAGGGGGTGAAATGTACGTGTCTGGAACAGCGTTGGGGCATTTTTACATGTTAAATATGAACACACACAAAGGCACACGCACACACACTCACACACACACAATGACACACAGACAAAGGGGCACTTGGCAAGATGCCCACGAACTGCCCGCCACACGGGGGCTCAGGGAGGAGCCAGCACGTCCCCGGGGAGGGCTGTCAGGGCCAGCGCGAGCCCCTGGGCGAGTCCACAGAGAAAGCTGAGGTCACCCGAGGCTACGAGTCTGTCCTGCCGCCCAGCTGGAGACCCTGTGTCCTCTCCCCAGACTGGGCACCCTGTCCTACTCCCGAGCTGGGGGAGGGGCTCCTTCCAGCAGGGGCTGGGGGCAGGAAATGACGAGGACAAAGGTCAGAGGGGGTTGGGAGCCCGTGGGGCCTTCTGGCCACCCGGTCTGAGGCTTCTGCTGGCTGGCCCAGAGCTGGGACTCCCCAAGCCCAAACCCACTCCCATCCCAGGCCATTCCCACTCGGGCAGGGGTCAGCCCCCTGCATTACAGCCCTGCTGGAGGGGGGCCCCCTCCCCAGGCCCCACCTCGGGGAGGCCCAGAGTGTTCGGGAGGCCTCTGAGGACCATCCTGGGGGTTCCTGAGGAAGACAGGGGTGCACCGACGTCCGGTCCCACCTCCACCCTGTGCTGCTGCCTGAGCCCTGGACAGTCCCAACATGTCTCTGGACTCCACTCTCCAGGGCAGCAGGAGGGAAAGGGCTCTCGGGAGTCTGACGGTCCCACGGTCCAGGAAGGACAGGGTGTGAGGGGGGGCTCCCAGGTCCCCCCTACCGCTGTTAGGTGTAGACCCCTGGGCCCCATGGCTCCCACCAACAGATGTTCCAGACCCTGGTGACAGCCAGGCAGGGCACGAGGGCGCCGCCCTCCTCTTTGGAAAGGCTCTTTGGCCAGCTCCGGAGACAGGTGGGAGGACGAGGGGGGCGTCCATGCTCGGCGGGGATGGGGGGCGCCTCTGCCCCCGCCTCTCTCTGCAGCTCCTCCTGTGCAGGGGGGCAACGCGGGGCTCTAGCAAGGGCCGCCGGGAGGAGGCCGGGGGCTGGCAGGGTGCTGGTCACGCTCCCGGTGCCAGCCTCGGTCCCCACGCTCACGGCTGCCCCGGGCTGGGCCCTTCAGTGTCCCTCCTCGAGGCTCAGCGGCGGGCACAGGTGACAGGCCACGGCAGGGGTCGCCGGTCCGGGGAGCCGCTGGGCGTCTGGTCTGGCCGGGTGACCGCGCCCTATAGGTTCTCCCCGGGCTGGTACTGGGGCTCGGTGGACGTGAAGTAGTCCTCCAGGAAGGCCTGCAGGTACTCGAAAGTGGGCCGCTCCTCGGGCTCCTTCCGCCAGCATTGGCACATGAGGTCGTGCAGGGACTCGGGGCACTCGGGCGGGCACGGCATCCGGTAGCCCCGCTCCACCTGGTCCAGCACCTCTCGGTTCACCATCCCTGCGGGGCAGAGGCAGGCAGTGTGAGCGACAGGGGAGGGGGGCGGGACGGCTGTACGGGGAGGGGAGGGTGGGGAGGGGGGGACAGCAAAGGTGGGGCACGCTCACCCGGGTAGGGCACCCGGCCCTTGGTGGTTAGTTCGGTCAGCAGGATACCGAATGACCACACATCCGACTTGATGGTGAAGCGGCCGTAGAGGGCAGCTTCTGGGGCTGTCCACTTGATGGGAAACTTGGCGCCTGCGGGGGACAGTGGTCAGGGGTCGCAGTGGCTCTGCCGCAGGGCCCATCCACACCCCGGACAATGCCCACCCCACCCGGGCCACGCCCAACCTCACCGGGACCAAGCCCACCCCACCTGGGCCAGACCAGCTCACACCCAGGCCACGCCCACCCACCCGGCCACGCCCACCTTGCCGGGCTGTGTACTCATTGTCTTCAATGAGACGCGCCAGCCCGAAGTCGGCCACTTTGCACACGAGGTTCTCGCCCACCAGGATGTTGGCGGCACGCAGGTCCCGGTGCACGTAGTTCATGCGCTCCACGTACGCCATGCCCGAGGCGATCTGCAGGTCGAGCAATGGGGGAACCGGGCTCAGGCTCCCCCCCACCCCCATGCCCGCCCCCAACACTGTTGGCACAGGGGAGGAGGCCGGCACGGGCGCCAGGGGCCAGCCAGGACGTGTCCCGAGGGACCCTCGGTTGGAAGCTGGCGCCCCAGAACGGAGTGCGAGGGTGAAAGGGAGGCTCGTGTACCCCCCACGCCTCAGAGGCACGGAGGATAGCTGGGTCCTGCGGGCTGCCCACTCGCCCTCTGCTTCATCATCTGTCACAGGGAACAGCCCTCCCCAGGGCTGCCCATGTCGCCTACAGCAAGCTTGTTTGCTAGGAGGCTGAGTGACCTCTCTCCCAGACATAGAAGCTGAGGCAGGAGGTCCCACAGCAGATCAGTGGCTCCTGCCACCCAGGCAAGGACTCTTTCTTCTGCCCTCAACCCCATCAGCAGCCCCAGGAAGACAACTGGGGAGAGATCAGAGCTGGTGTGTGTGGGGGGCGTGGGGGAGAGCAATCCAGGCAAGCTCACTGGAGGGGGTGCTCAAGACCCCAGGATGCTCAAGACACCAGAAGCTGCCAGGTTCTAGAGCTGAGGGTGCAGGAGGCAGAGGGGGAGGTGCTGACTCACCTGCGCCGCCATGTCCACCAGCTGAGGAAGCCGCAGATACTTGCCGGTCTCACCCTTGAGGAAGTCCAGCAGGCTCCCTGTGCAGAGAGAAAGCAGCTGGAGCCCGGTGCCAGGATGCGGGCAGCCCTGCCTGTGCAGGCAGGATGGGCCCCTCCAGACGGCCAGTTCCTGGGAGAATGAACCCGACTTGGTTCCCATGTGTCTCCGCGAGAAAGGTCGGGGGAAGCCGTGAAGGGGGCTGGCATTAGGCGCATCCCCTGGTCCTAGTCTCTACAGACAGCGGCTTGCGGTCATACCCACCAGCCCCGTGGGCCCCTGGGGAGCGGGAGGAGGGAAAGAGGGTGTGTCTGGGGGAGATGAAAGGCTGCCCAGAGCTGTGCTCAGGACACCCCTCTCTCTCCTCTCCACTCCAGGCATGTGACTGTCACCTTCACAGACTTCTGCTCTGCTTGTACCAAATGTCTCACTGTTTCAGAAGTGCTGGGGCGGGGTGGTGTTGGGCCGCGCTGGCAGTGCTCACAGCTCACTCCTGGCTCTGTGCTCAGAGCTCAACCCTGGCAGTGCCCGGGGACCCTATGGGGTGACACTGCAAGGTCAGTGCCTGTACCCAGCCCTTACGAAGGAGGTTCTTCCGCCAGCCCACCACTCGCGCCCCTCAGAGGCCCCCTTCCCAGGGGAATGGAAAGACTGCTCCAGGCAGTGGGAGAAAAGAAACCTGGCACCTAGAAAGTCCGGCCACACCTTAGACTGCACCTAGAAATTTCTAGAATAAATGACTCCCTGATGACCAAAAGTGCTGCCCTGCGCATCTGGGGCTGGGGAGAGAAGGTCATGGAAACTCTAACTGTGGTGAGGGAATCACAAAGCCAGCCTGCCTGCCTGCCTGCCTTCCTGCCTTCCTTTCGTCCTTTCTCCCTCCCTCCTTCCTTCCTAGTTTTGGGGTGCCAGGGATTGAACTTAGGTCAGCCCCATGCAAAGCAAGCACACTACTCACTGTATTATGGCTCCAGTCCTGTGCTTTCATTCCCTTTTTTTTTTTCTTTTTCGGTCACACCCGGCGATGCACAGGAGTTACTCCTGTTTCTGCACTCAGGAATTACTCCTGACAGTGCAGGGGTGGGGGTGGGGAAACCATATGGGATGCTGGGAATCGAACCCAGGTTGGCCACATGCAAGGCGAACATCCTACCCACTATGCTATGGTTCCAGCCCTTCATTCCTTAACATACATTCAACTGAGTCTGGCACATTTCTGTATATAAGTTAGAACTCCAGAATGTGCCTGCCACAAAGGCGGGAGGGTACTCAAACATTAAAGGCCCTCCCGTTGATCGTCGATTTGCTCGAGCAGGCCCAGTAACGTCTCCATTGGAGACTTTGTTGTTACTGTGTCTGGCATATCGAATACTCTCGGTAGCTTGCCGGGCTCTCCGAGAGGGGCGGAGGAATCGAACTCGGGTCGGCCATGTTGGCCGCTTGTAAGGCGAACGCCCTACCCGCTGTGCTATCGCTCCAGCATTGTATCACCAAAATATAATCATGCAAGTTTGTAAGTCTGTAACTGTATCTCACAGTGATTCATTAAAAAAAAAAGTCATACCTCCAAATATTGGAATTTTTTTTAAAGGTTCATTTAAAAATTAAATAAGGTTTGGGGCTGGAGCAATAGCACAGCAGGTAAGGCGTTTGCCTTGCACGTGGCCGAACTGGGTTCGAATCCCAGCATTCCATATGGTCCCCCGAGCACCGCCAGGAGTAATTCCTGAGTGCATGAGCCAGGAGTAACCCCTGAGCATTGCTGGGTGTGACTCAAAAAGCAAAAAAAAATAAATAAATAAAAATTAAGTAAGGTCAAGCCAGGGCCTTGTGGTTCAGCAGGGGTTTGGCTGGGGTGGGGGTATAGATTCTCTTTTAGCCCCCAAATAACAAACAGCACTTGAGAAAACAGAAAATTAAGATCTGAGGGTCAGGGGGGTGGCCTCGAGGAAAGAGCACAGGTCCAGCTCTGGAAGCCCTGGGTTTCATCCCTGCCATCACAGCGTTCCCTGAGAACCACCAGAACTCACCCCACATGGCCACTGAGCCCCACTGGGTCCAAGCACCACCAGGAGTGGTCCCCATAACAATTAAAATGAAACAAAATTTATAATCAACAAAGTGGGGGAAGACAAGATGTACTGTAAGAAAACAAAAAATATATATATATACAATGATGATAGGCCGCAGAGATAGTACAGAAGGTAGGATGTTTGCCTTCCACTGGGCTGACTGGATTCAATCCCCAGCACCCGATATGGTCCCCCGAAAACCACCAGAGTAATTCCTGAGTGCAGAGCCAGGAGTAACCCCTTAGAATCACCAGGTGGGACCTAAAACAACAACAACAACAAAAAAATAAATCGAGGAAGAATCCCTCTTGGGAGACCCCTTTCCATTCCACTACCACACCAATAACAACAAATCACTGGGGACAGAGAGCAGCTCCAGGGTCAAGGTGCTTGCCTCTCCACTGCCAGGTGTGGCCCAAAGCCGCCTCCCGACCCGGGAGATAAGTAAAAACAAGCAGAGAGAACAAGAAAAGGCTCTGGTAGGAGAGTCACCCACACCTGCATGCGTACTGCAGGCTGCTCATAATAACGAAGAACTGAAACCACCTGTGCCCGTGTGGGTAGCGGCGTGGGTGAAGATGACAGACACAAGGTGGACGCTACCCAGCTAAACAACTATTTTTAAAGATGAGATTCCTGGGCCAGAGAAATAGAACTGGAATTAAGGTGCTCGGATTTGCCAGTGGCCAAATCAAGTTCAATCCCCTGAACTACATAATAGTCCCCGGAGCACCGCCTGGAGCCAGCCCTGAGTGCAGAGCCCAGAAGGAGCATCCAAGCACCGCTAGATGTGGTCCCCTTCCCTTAAAAAAAATAGCCATAGATGAAATTCTGCCATTTTCAGAAGATGGATGGGGCTGCAGTGATGACATCAAGTGCAGTAGGGCAGAGGCGGGACACGCAAGAGGTGGACCAAGCTAGTGAACACTAGAGCCCCCTAGAGGTCAGGCACGGAACTGGGCTGCAGGAAGCGAAGGGGTGGGGCACCAGGCCAGAGGCAACGGTGGGTGACGGACATCCAGCTTGCAGCCCCTCCAACTGCCGACATACAGCCTGCACACTTGAAAGCTAGGTCAAGTTGGAGACCAGTGCGATTTCAATTCATGATCAAAACGAAACTTTCAGGAGGCAGCTTTGGGGCCACTCTCCCATTGGCATGAGGAATTGGTTTCCCCGTCCCACCTTTAGAGATGCATGTTCTTTTTTCTTTTTTGCTTTTTGGGTCACACCCAGCGATGCATAGGGGTTGGTTATTCCTGGCTCATGCTCTCAGGAATTACTCCTGGCGGTGCTTGGGGGACCATATGGGATGCTGGGAATCGAACCCGGGTTGGCCACGTGCAAGGCAAATGCCCTACCAGCTGTGCTATGGCTCCAGCCCCGCAAAAGATACACGTGCTTGGAGACACAGTGCAGAAGGGAACGCACCTGCCTTGCATGCAGCTGACCTGGGTTTGACCTTACACCCCAGACGGGCTGCCAGGCATCATCCCTGAGTGCAGCGCCCAGCCACGGCCAGGCATGGGCCCCCTAAATAAAAAATAACACAAAGATGTACATTCTTGGGGACCCGAACGACAGTGTGGGAGAATTAAGGCCCTGCATTTCGCTGACCCCATGACAGATCCCAGGACTGCATATGGTCCCCTGAGCATTGCCAGGCATGACCGCCCCAAACCGAAAGGAGTCAGATACAAAATGGTGAACGCTCTGAGCACACACTCGGCCCCCAGCACGGCCGGAGCGGCTCCAAGCACTGCTGGGTGTGGTGTCTCCCCCTACCATGAACGTTCTGGATCTGGGGGCATGTGATTTGGGATCTGGGAGCAAAGTCGCCCACCTTTGCTCATGTACTCGGTGACAATGTAGATGGGCTCCTCGGACACCACCGCGTACAGCTGCACCAGCTTCTCGTGCCGCAGTTTCTTCATCACCTGCGCCTCCTGCAGGAAGGCCTCCGGGGACATGGTGCCGGGCTTCAGAGTTTTGATGGCCACGCGGGTGGTGCCGTTCCACGTGCCTGGGGTGCAGAGAATGCCAGGCTGCCTGGGTGGGGAGCCCCAGGGTCCCGCCGGCCCCCATCCCACAAGGACCCAGATCTGCGCCCCCCTGCCAGGTACCAGTCCCCACTGGGGCCTTCCTAGCCATGGGGCCCAGGATGAGCCTCAGTTTCCCCCGCGGCAAAGGGGGGGAGGCGCCCGCAGCAGAACAGCCTCCTCACGGGGCTCTTCTGAGGACTCGAAGCGCCTCCAGTAGATGCTCCAGAAACGGGAGCTATGAGGACGGTGAGTGTCCCCCCACCAGCAGAGGGAAGCAGAGCCGGCCTCAGGAGAGCACCCCAGGGGCACCGCACACCCCAGAGTCGACTGAAGACAAGGGCTCAGAGGCCTGATGGGACACAGGGGATGCCTCCCGGGCCCTCCCAGCCGTGAGCCCCGTCTCCCCATCTGGGTCTTTGGGGTATGTGTCAACAGAGGGAAACGTGTTCTAGAAGCTTCTCCAGCTCCTGCCCACTCTGAGCACCTGCACTCTGACCCAGGAGGGAACTGGGGGCACGGTGCAGGGCGGCATCCAGGCTCTGCTCAGGCTCTCCTGGGGGCGTGTGCTGGCACCCTCCTCCTCCCTGCACCCCGCGCTGCCGCCCTCCTCTCCTGCTCTGAGGGCGGCATGGGGGTCCCGGTGTGCTCGGAGGAGGCGTCAGGATCAAGGCAGGGACGGCGGGGGCCGGGCTTACCCATCCAGACCTCTCCGAAGCAGCCCTGGCCCAGCTTGACCTCCAGCCGCAGCGACTCCCGGGGGATCTCCCAGGCGTCCTTGGCCAGGCCCTGCGTCTGCGGCTTGGACGTGGGGCACACGGCGGTGAGTCGGTGGCACAGGCCGTCGGCGTGTTCTGGGGAGGCAGGGAGCCGGCTGAGCTTTGGGGACACACGGGACAGGAGGCCCCGAGGCCAGGTGTCCACGCCCGTGTGTGCAGCCCACCCCGTGAGCAGCGTCCCCCTGAGTCGGTCACTCCTCGGGGACCCTCCAGGGACATGTCCAGGATCCCCCAAGAGCTCACAGTCCTGGGTGGTGGCGGGGGGGGGGGGGTGGTGACATCACATCCCCCCTACTCCCCCCACCAGGACGCACAGGAGGCAGCGGAGTCAGACCCGCAAAAGCAGGTGGGCAGGAAGAAGTCCTGGCGCTCGGGCAGGTAAGAGGTGCTGGGGAGGTCAGGTGGGGTAGACAGAGGAGGAGGGTGGGGAGAGCCGCAGGGAGGAGGGGGAGGGGGAGAACAGGGCGGGAAGGGGAGGGGCCGGCAGGGGGCACTCACTGGAGTAGTAGGCCACCAGCTGCTGCAGGCTGCTGAACTGGGTGCGGGAGGTGATGTAGAAGCCGCCGCTGTCCAGCTTGCGGATCTTGTAGTGCTTCACGTTGAGGCCCTTGGCGTTGTCAAAGTCAGACACGGACAAGCAGTAGGCGCCTGCGAGGTGGGCCAGGGCAGGGCGGTGACCGCAGTGCCAGGGGAGGGGAGAGGGGGGCTCCGGTCTCCAAGCTCCCACTTCCTGATGGTTGCTGACACCCAAACTCGGGGCCTCCATTTCCTCCTCTGCATCTCAGGAGACCCCCAGGAAGGCCCAGGGAGCCCACACGTGGGACCTCGCACACATCTCCCAGAGCCTGGGAACATCCCCCATGACTGCCAGGGGCTGCAGAGATGGGCGGGGGAGGGGAGGCAAGACCTGGGGCCAGGGTCTAGCAGGGTGGCAACCCCAAGGCCTGGAGCCCAGTGGAGCCTCAGAAGCTGGAGAGGGAAGAAGAGGGACCCTCCCTCCGCCCCCTGACTCAGCACTCGGCCAACAGGAGTGCTCAGACCTTTCCCTCCCGACCTGCCCTGCGCCCTCTTCAGCCTGCTTGGGCGGGGGGCCAGGCCTGAGCACCCCATCCTGTGTACACTGGGCAGGACAGAGGCCAATGCTGGGTGGATGTGGCCAGAGGCGGCGAGGGTGAGCAGGGTCAGCCTGGGGCTCCTCTTCCCGACTCCCTCAAGCCTAGAAAAGCGTTTGGCTGCGAAACTCCTCCTGGCCGCCAGACACGGCTGGAAGCCTGAGCGGGCCGAGAGGCTAGCGGTGACCTCAGGGGACCAGGCTGGGCCCCAGAGGCGGGGCAGCAGCACCGTGGCCTCAGAAGGCCCTTTTCGTGCTGGAAGTCACGGCCCAGAGTCTGGAAAGTCCTTCTAGGGGAGATTGGGACCCCCGGGCTGAGCGGCTGTGCTCAGCCTCCCGTCACCCCGCATCGGGCACTGCTGGAGCTGGGCCCGTGGGACCCGGAGGGCAGCCGGAGGGCCAGTGCCGGGGACATGGGGCAGCTCGGCTGAACACTAGAGGCCCATGGAGTGCAGAGACACCCACACTGGGTGCCATGCGCCCCAGACTCCCACGCACAAAGGCAAAGCTGCTCCCATAACCCCGACAGTCTCGTGTGTCTCCCAGGAAGCAGCCGCTGTGCTGCCATGGGGACGGGGCTGCAGAGAAGGGGGAAGGCAGGGGGAGGTGAGAACAGGGGCCCGGACTTTGCGAGGATGGGCAACCCTAGGACCTGGCACCCAGAGGAGCCCCAGAGGCCCCCGGAGAGCAAAGAAGAGGAACCCTCTCCCTCCCCGCTCAGCACTCCCTGGGCAACAAGCCTTGTGCATGGGTGGGGGGCGGGGCGTTGTCGAAGTCAGACACGGAAAAGCAGTAGGCGCCTGCGGGGCTTGCACTCACAGCCTGTGCTCACTCCTCCTCTGGGGAAACTGAGGCCCGAGGAGCTCCTTGCCGTCTCATGCCAGCCCGGTGGCCTGGGAAACTTGCATGCCCCTCAGGGATGCCACTGCCTTGGGCCCGCCTGCTCTGACCCCTGGAGAAGCTCTTCCCACCCTACCTCCCACCCCCGGCTCCATCAACCAAACTCCTATTCACTCTGCAATACCCAACTAGAACAGCCCATCAGAGGCTCCAAGGCCAGCAGAAGTATTCCTACCTTTCGTGGTCTCACTTTCCCGGACCAGGAAGGTCCCCCGGGGGTTCTCTGAGTTGAGCAGCAACCGCTCCGACTCTCGCCTGGTGATCTTGCCGAAGTACCACCTGGGGCGGGTGGGTGTGGGGAGAGGAGGGGCGTGTTGAGGGTCCAGGTACCCACCCTGCCCCATCCCCTCTCACAGGAGGGGCCGCGGGGAGGCCCAGGGAAGGGGGCAGCGCAGATACTCACTCCTCAGCCTGGATGGAGTCGGACGGGGCCACGTAGTTGCTGGGGATGTAGCCGGTCTGCCCGGTGCTGAGCGAGTGGGCCAGCCACCAGTCCCCCTCTCTGAGCGGGGGGCAAAGAAGGGGCGTCAGGGGGCGGGGGCCTCGCCTGCCTTTGTCACAGGTGCTGTGCAGGGCCCCCTGCCCCCCACCCAGGCCGAGTGCAGCACGGGGAGCACAGCCCCCCACTGCTCAAGTCCTCTCCCTGGCCCAGGTACCCTTTGGCCAAAGCCAACCCTGCAGGCTTGGGCCTGGCCAGCCCATGGCCTGGGGTCCCCGGGGGTGAGCGCACCCCAGCCTCTCCCGAAGCAGACTGGTCCGGAAGGGAGAGTGGCATCCCCTCGCCTGAGAGACGGCTCCTGCCTCCAAGGCGTCCCCCTGCCTCCGCCCTCACCCGGGGCCCGTCCTGCTGACTAGAGTGACCCTCGCCTGGTCCTCAATCCCCGGCCACACTGCAAAGTCTCCTCCCTGCCCACGAAGCCTGCCCACCACCAGGGGAAACTGAGGCCTGGAGGGGCGGGGCTTGCCCAAAGTCACACAGTTTGCCAGGCATCCGCGGGCTATGAGAGCGCGTCTCCACACTCACACCCTGGGCGGGAGGAGGTGCCGGAGCAGGGTGGGAGGGGAAGGAGACGAGGGGGCCAGGGCAGGAGTCCCCCGGGGCCTGCAGGGGAGGGGCGCAGGGTGTGGAAGTACCTTTGCAGCCATCTGAATGTGAACCAGGTCTGGCTGGAGCGGGGGTCCCGAGACACAGAGGAGGGAGGAGAAGGCGGGAGCCCGCCAGGAAGGAAGAGGCAGAGACGGGGAGGTGAGAGAGAGCAGAGAGCGTGAGGCGGGAGCAGGGGCTGGGCGGGCCAGCGACAGGGCCTCACATCCAAAGCGGCCAAGGGCACGGGGTGGGGAGGGGGCGGGAGGGGGGAGGGCTTTGGGGGGGGAGCCGTGGGAGGGGGCACCTGAGTTAGGATCCGGCCCCCTCCCAGGCCACGCTGCGATGGCAGCTGAGGCACAAGGTGAAGGCCTCTGCCTGAGATCACATGCCCACCCGGTGGCAGTGCGTGCAGCCTTCAGGCCCCTCAGTCCCAGGCTGTCCCCTGCAGGGCCGAGGCCTCTGCTGAGCGGCTGGTGACCGCACCCCTTCTGAAGCCGGGCGCGGAGCTGAGCAGAGCGGTCGGGCCCACGTGGGGCCAACCTGTGGGGTGCCCGGTCCAACCCCCGGGGTGCCAGCGCTGGCCTCTGTGCTGCGGGGACTCTAGCACCAGCAGGAGGAAACCGAGGCTCTGAGAAGCACGGGGCCCAGCGCCCGGCCCGGAAGAGCCCAGGACGTTCTTTGTAGCGTGGGGGAAGCTGAGGCCCAAGAGAGGGGCCGAGTCTTGCCCAAAGACACACAGCAAGGGCTTGGCTACGGGAAAGGAGCAGTGCTCTGTGCAGAAGCCCATTCACCTGGGGAAACCGAGGCACGGTGAGACAAGGTGGAGTTCTCTGGCAAGGACAGTAGGTGGAACCCCCAAGTGCCCAGAGTCAGATACGGCAGGTCTCCTGTACCCCTGAGGCCTCCCTCGGTGAGCTGGGGAGAGGGGGCTGAGGGGATCTGGGGTCAGATGGAGGAGGAGGCTGATGGGTGAGTGGGGGCAGTCCAGGTCAGATGGAGGAGGCTGATGGGGAGGGGGGAGGTATCTGGGGTCGGAGGGAGGATGCTGATGGGCAGGTGGGGCAGTCCGGGGTCAGATGGAGGAGGCTGATGAGCAGGTGGGGGAATCCAGGTCAGATGGAGGAGGCTGATGGGGAGGGGGGCGGTATCTGGGGTCAGATGGAGGAGGCTGATGGGCCGTGGGGGGCAGTCCGGGATCAGATGGAGGAGGAAGCAGCGAAGGGCAGAGGCGTGTGGCGGGGCAGCGTCCAGCAGGCCTCACTCAGCAGAGCTGGGCAGAGGTCTAGGTCAGAGGCTACCAGCGACAGACTGATGAAGCAGCTGCCAGCTGGCTGGTCTCCTGGGAGCCCCCAGCCCCCACCCGGCAAGGGCCCGCACAGCAGCCAAGCGGAGCCCCGAGGCCAGGGTTCGAGTCCCCCCACGGGACCCAGGCTTGGGCCAGCGCAACTGAGCTCCTGTCAGGACCCACGTGTGCCCGGGGTGTCGCCATCCTCACTGGATGTGCGACCTTTGCTCCCCTGGCCCTGCGTCTCAGGGGGGACATTCAGAGGACCCTAACAGAGCACAGCTCTAGCCCGGGTTGGTCTGGCCGAGCAGAGGAGAACAGTCACCAAGTCGCAGTGTCCCCGCCCACCCTGCAGGGGCCGGGGCTATGGTGAGTCCACAAGGTAGACCCCGCATCGCAACCAACTGTGTGAGCGACACGACCGAGTGTAAGAGAACCGAGTGTATGACACAACCGAGTGTGAGAGACAACCGAGTGTGTGACACAACCGAGTGTGTGAGAGACAAAGCCAACTATGTGAGTGGTACAACCCGCGTGTGACACAACCAAGTCTGTGAGCAACACGACAAACTGTGAGCGACACGACCAAATGTGAGCGACACAACCTGTAGGTGAGCGACACAGCCCATGTGTGACACAACTGAGTTTGTGAGCGACACAACCGAGTGTGTGAGTCCTGGAGCAAAGGGCCTGCTCCCTCCGCTGCAGACCTCCTGGGGCTCAGTGGGTGGGCTCTGGGCTGGGAGAGCAGCAGGTGGCAACTGTGCCCTGACCCTCCTGCACCCCAGGGAGAGAGCACTCCGCGGGGAGCCCCCGAGCTACAGTCTCACTGCCCAGCTGGAGGTCGCTGGCTGTGTGGGCCCAGGCCTGGCCTCACCTCTCTGAGCCCTGGGGGTCCGCTGTAGGACCCTGATTCCTGTTCCAGCCAGGCTGGCGTGTGCATTAGGTGCCCCGCAGCATGGGGGCCTGGGAAGTTTGGGTAGGGGGGGGTGGGGACACTTCGGTTTAATTCACCGGGGAGGCCAGGACTGGCCAGAGAATCCTGTGGGGGCTGTATGTGAGCCAGGGAGCAGCCACTCCACGGGGCAAGAGTGCAGAGAGGGGAGGGCAGGGCAGGGCAGGGGAGGATGGGGAGGGGAGGGAGTGCCAGGGAGGGGAGGGGAGGGAGGGGGTGAGGGAGGACAGGGGAGGGGAGGGGGGAAAGGGAGGACAGGAGGAGGGAAGGACAGGAGCATTGAGCAGGTGAGGGGTGGAGGATGCCCGACTCACCAGGGACCCCCCGCCATACCCTCATGTACCCCGGGGCTGAAGAAGTTAAGGGAGATGCCAAACAAGGGCTGCCCTCTGCCTCAGGCTGAGAAGGCCAGGGGCGCGTTCCAGAACCTTCCCTCCTGCCATGTGGTGGCTGAAGGCCCGGCACTGCAAAGTCACGGCTCCCCACGCATGGACGGTCTCTCCACCACCACCCGCCCGCCCCTCTGCCCCCCCACCCAGGACTCCAGCCCCCTCCGGCCTCCACTGCCCCATGTGACCTTGGGCAAGTCCTTTCACCTCTCTGGGCCTCAGTTTCCTTATCTGTCAAATGGAGTCACCACTTCTCAGGTCGGTGGTGAGCAGGGATAACGCAACACAACTTGGGGTGCTTGGCATGGGGCGGTTCACAGGCAGGGTGGAGGGGTTGGGGGCAGCTCATCACTGGCCCCCCTCCTTCCCGGAATCTCAAGGGGGGCCCCCGGCAGATGGGCACCCAGGAATGTAGCTGGCCTGGGAGCAGCCGGCCCGGGGGGGTGCAGTTTGGGGGAGGTGGATGCCAACAACTGGACCCCTAGGAAAAGTGGGGTGACTCTAGAATCCGACACACCCCCAGGGCAGAGGGAGGGGCTGGCCCCCCGAAAGACCCTCCTGAGTTTGGGCGAGCCCCGTGGCCCCAGTTCCAATCCCGGCTTCGCTACTAGGTGGCTGTGTGACCTTGGGCAAAGGCCTTCACGTCTCTGAGCCTCAGTTTCCTCATTTGCAAAATGTCCCGGCTCTCTCTCTCTCTCTCTCTCCCTCAACAGCCCTGGAAGGACCACGACAGGGTCAACAGGAGAATACGGGCCAGAACACCCAGCTCAGCCCCTGGCAGAGAGAAGGCCGTCGCCGGGCAGGTGCTAAGGGATGAAGAGGAGTGCGCCAGGCAGGGGTGGGGGGGAGGGCACTGGCAGGAGAGCAAGCACCGGGCACAGACACGCAAGACAGGCCTGGGCGAGGGGGTGGCCGCCCCCCGAGACAGACCCTTGAGGGGTGCTCGGGGGCTGCTATGCTCTGAGCTCCAGAACCTCCTTTGGGTGCTGGGGAGTGAACCCCAGGCCCCGCATGTGTGCAGTACAGCTGAGCGATCTCCCTGGCCTCTAGAACCTTCCGAGCCCTGCAGGCCTCCAGCCCCCTCACACACCCCTGCCAAGACCTGCCTGCTCCCAGGACCTGCCCTGGCCTTCCCTGCGGGGTGGCTGGGACCCTCAGCCCCCTGTCCCTGCCTCAGCGAGGTGGGGGGGGCATGCAGCAGAGCGGGAGGCCCGGCCAGCCTGGCCCCACCCAGGCCTCCCGAGGGGTCCCGCCACCCCCACATGCAGGAGGAACAGACGGAGAAGGGCGAGGAGGGGAGGTGGATGGCAAGGAGGCGTGGCGGGGTGACCCGGTGATGGCTGCCCCAGCAGACTGGCCGGAGGTGGAGGGCGCATGAGCGGGAGGGGGGGGGCACTGCGGGAGGGAGCGCGGGAGAGCAGGGCAGTGGCGGCGCATGCAGCCCCCCGCCCGCTGCAGCGTGTACACACCTGACGTCCACTTTCCTCCTAAGGCAGCGGGAGGGAAGCAGAGAGAAGGAGGCGCTGAGGGCCAGAGCGAGCAGCACAGCCCGGGGGGCAGCAGGCAGGAGCGGGCCCCTCTCTGCGGGGGGTCCATCACAGGACAAACCCCTCTCACCAGCGCCCCGAAGCCTGAACCCCACACCCCGGCGACAGGCCTGGCCCCCACTGCCCTGGCTGGAGCCCACCTACACTGCGCCGCCTCACTCCCCCCGAGCCCGTCAAGGGCCTGCGAGCCCCCCAGGGCTGTGTCCCTCAGGGAAACAGATGCCGGGGGGCGGGGCGTACGCCCCACCCTGCTCCCCTCTCGGACCCCCATCTCCTAGACTTGTTTTCTGCTCCCTGGGTCCTGGCTCCGTCCTGCCCTGACCATCGGGGGCCCTATGCTGGGAGCCCCCCGAGCCTGACCGCCACCTCCCACCACACCACGCCCGGCACCCCAGGCCAGTGCCAGGCCCTGGGCCTCTCTGGACAGCAGCTCCTGGAGGCTCGGCCCGAGCGGCCCCGCAGGGTGGGCTGGGCACACTCACGTGTTGTTGACGATCTGCAGCCGCTCCCCTTTCTTGAAGGACAAGTCGGTCTCTGTTCTGGACTCATAGTCATAGAGTGCCACGAAGGTGGTCACGCCCCCTGCAGAGACGGGCACTGGTCAGCCACATCCCCCAGGCAGCACCAGCTCACCTGTGTTCCCGGCTGTGTCTTCCAGGGAAAGCCCGTCTGTTCTCTCCGCGTGCATGCAGGTGACCACGTCTGCGTGTCTGAGTCCGTGTGTACGCACCATGGATGTGACTGTGTGTCCGTGCTTCCTGGTTTGGTGAGTTCTCCGTGTGTGTGACTGTGTATCTGCGTGAGTGGGTGTTGGGTCTATGAGTGTGTCTGTGTGAGTGGCCGTCAGGTCTGTGTGTGTGACTGCGGGTCTGTGAGTGGGTGTCAGGTCTATGTGTGTGACTGTGAGTGTGTGAGTGGGTGTCAGGTCTGTGTGTGTGACTGTGTGCCTGTGTGTGACCATCAGGTCTGTGTGTGTGGCTGTGAGTCTGTGTGAGTAGTTGTCAGGTCTGTGTGAGTGACTGTGTGACTATGTGTGTGAGTAGCTGTCAGGTTCGCATGCGTGTGACTGTGTGTGTGTGTGAGTGGCCGTCAGGTCTGTGCGTGTGTGTGTGGCCATCAGGTCTGTGTGTGTAGCTGTGTGTTTATGTGTGGCCGTCAGGTCTGTGTCAGTGACTGTGTGTGTAACTGTGTATGACTGTGTGTGTGGGAGGCCGTCAGGTCTGTGTGTGTGACTGTATGTCTGTGTGTGTGACCGTCAGGTCTGTGTGTGTGGCTGTGAGTCTGTGTGAGTGGGTGTCAGGTCTGGCTGCGTGTGTGACTGTGTGTCTGTGTGTAACTATGTGTCTGTGTGAGTGACCATCAGGTTTGTATGAGTGTGTGTGTGACTGCGTGTCTATGTGACTGTATCTGTGTGTGGATGGCGTCAGGACTGTGTGTATGACTGTGTATGTGTGACTGTGTGTCTGTGTCTGACTGTGTGTCTGTGTGAGTGACCATCAGGTTTGTGTGAGTGACTGTGTGTGACTGTGTCTGTGTGACTGTGTGTCCGTGTGTGTGACTGTGTGACTGTGTCTGTGTGTGACTGTGTGTCCGTGTGTGTGACTGTGTGTCTGTGTAAGTGGCATCAAGTCTGTGTGTGACTGTATGTCTGTGTGACTGTGTATCTATGTGACTGTCAGCCCTGTGTGAGTGACCGTGTGTGTGCGACTGTGTGTGTGAGACTGTGTGTGTGTGACCATGTGTCTGTTTTTGTGTTTGTGTGAGTGACTGTCAGATCTGTGTGAGTGACTGTGTATGTGTGACTGTGTGTGTGACCATGTGTCTGTATCTGGGGTGGCCTTTTCTCTGCGTGGCCTGTCTTCCCCAGACCTGTGACCGGGGGTGCCTCCCTCTCAGCTGTGTCCCGTGGGGCTGAGTCTGCAGCAGCTCTCTGGAGTGTGACCGTCTCCAGTGCCTGAATCAGGCCGCTGGGTCCCTGCCCCGCATCCAGTGGTTGTGCTGCCCCGAGAAGCCGGCAGAGGGCGCAGGGGCGCATCTTGGGGCTGGCTGAGCTGACCGCTGACCTCCCTGGTCCCTGTGGGGTGCTGACCCACTTCCAAGCAGGCTGGAGCAAAGTCTGGTCCTCAGGCTGCCCGGCGCGGCCTCTGACTGGCTGTCCCTGCCCTCTGCCTCAGCCCAACACCTGGAGACCCCACTGGGAACACATCTAAGTCTGCCTGACAGCGAAGTGTGGGCACCGCACAGCCCTGGTCATCCACCACCCTGGTCACCCACCACTCCGATCACTCACCACCCCGGTCACCCACCACTCTGGTCACCTACAGCCCTGGTCACCTACCATCCCAGTCACCTACCATCCTGGTCACTCACCACCCCGGTCACCCACCACTCTGGTCACTCACCGCTCTGGTCACCCACAGCCCTGGTCACCCACCACCCTGGTCACCCACTGCCGTGGCCACCCACACCACGGAGGCCCTAGGCTAGGCATAAGGGTCCCCATTAATGACAGGCCCAGCGGCTGGAGAGTGGCCTATCGCAGGTGAGGGACTTGGCACCCCCCCACCCCTGTACCCTGACACACTGACCGGCTAGCGGCCCGGCCCTCTGCGGGGAGGTGACAGTGTCCGAGGAGTTGAAGCCCCCAAACAGCTTGGGCTCGGCGGCCGCGGGGGTGAAGGCCGCGTTGGCACCGCGGTGGCTGTCAGCGGGCGCGGGCTTGCTGGGGGTCTGGGCGCTGGGGTAGGCGCCAGCCGGCCCGTGGGTGGTCTCGGCGGGCTCCAGGCTACGTCGCCGCTGGCCGGCCTCCTTGGGCTTGCTCTTGTTGCTGCCCATGGTCCTGGCTGCAGAGGAGAGAGGGCCCACGGTGAAGAGGGTGAGGCACAGGCAGGCTTGTCCTGGGGCCCCCCTCCACAGCCCCACACCCACCCATTCCACAGAGGGAGAAACTGAGGCCCAGAGAGGGGGGCAGCCCCTTCGAGGAGGCCCCGTGTGCATGAAAGAAAATGGAGACCAGACACACGCCTTGGAGAAATGCCCCATACACAATCAGAAGCCAGGCTGGGCCCACACACCCGGGTCCGTTTCTCCCTCTGAGCCGGCGCTCTGCCTGAGGAGAGGATGCTAGGGGGACACAGTGAACTAGGGGAAAAGGGACACCCGAGGCGGCAACAAGGCTGGGAGGAGGGGAGCAGGGGGCTGACCCCGCCCCAGCCACTGCTCCACTCTCGGCTTAGAGTGTCCTCCTGGGGAGGTCTAGGGACGCCCCATTAAAATACATTGTGGGGTGAGGGCCTGAGTGGTAGGACTGTGGAGGTGGGGGGCATCTGCCTTCATGCGGCCAACCTAGGTTCAATCCCCACCATCACTGATGGCCCCCTGAGCCCACAGGAGCCAGGAGTCACCCCTGAGCACTGCCGGGTGTGGCCTCAAAACAAAAACAAAAAAACACACTGTGGGGTCAGAGCAACTGGACAATAGGACAGCAGGGAGGGTGTTTGCCTTGCACACAGCCAACCTGGGCTCCACCACCAGGACCCTGCGGGGTCCCCCAAGCCCGGCGAGGGGGATCCGTGAGCACAGAGTCAGCCCTGAGCACCGCGGGGTGGGTAGGGCCTAAGAACGGGTAAACAGAGTCACGGCATGTGGCCAAGTGCATGACCGCCTGTCCGGTCCCTGTGGCCCCTGAGCCCTGCCTCAGGCCTGGGTCTGTCCAGGGCCGGGCACAGGGTGTACGCAGCAGGTGCTCAATGGTGGCCACGAGGAGTCCCAGAGAGGGGGACACCACCACGCCCTGGCCCGCCTCCCCCTCAGCCTCAACCTCCCCACCCTCAGCGCCCAGCCAGCGCCTCACCTGGGGTCTCCGCGCCGACTCTGCTGGCCCTGGGCCAGCGGGGGGCGGCGGCGGGTGCGTCACTTCACTTGGCTGGCCCGCGGTGTCCTCATCGGCCAGGCAGGGACGGAGCCGAGGTCTGCGGGCTGCAGGGAGGACCCGGTCAGAGAGACGCTCCCACAACTCCCGGGTCACTCGTGTCCCCCAGTCCCCAACCCACACGGTGCACTCGAAGACCCCCAAGACAGCTTCAATCCATCCAAAGCACCTTGGGAGCTGGAACGAGCTATGGTGTTGGGATGCACTCGAGAGCTGGGCCCTCCACACCCCCATCCCTTCTCACACCCTGAGTGGCTGTGTGAGCCCCGCCAGGTGACTGGACGTCTCTGTTCTCTCTGTGCTCACTGAGCCAGACTGGGAAGGCGAGGGTCCTGGAGGCTGAGTCAAGCAGGGAGGCAGGTTCTAGCCAGGGTGCAGGGGACACAGGCCCTGGGCCAGCCAGGGAAGCCTGGGGTGGAGGGGAGAAGAGCCTGGGGGCCAAGTCCAGCTCTCAGCCAATCCCTGCACCCGGGATCCAGGCTGGCCCTTGGGGCTGGAGCCCGCGTGCTCCCGGGGGTCCATCCAGCTGGAGAGAATGTGGGGCTGGGCGGGGTGGGCCAGAGGGGACCTGAGCCCCACAGATTCCTCCCGAGGAGACCTGCCGGGCGGGTTCCACAGCCCTGGCCGCTCCATCTTCAACATTCTCCGAGTTCCCCCTGCAGCCCACCACCGCCTCTGGCGCTCCTGGGTGACTCGGGGGACACTGGCCGTAGCCGGCCTTGGAAGGCCACGGACACTTGTTTGCGGGACTTGGAGAGGAAACAAGTGACAGAAATCTAAACTTTTCCTTTAGTTATTTTTTTTTCCAAATGAAGGTGCTTCTAGGAGTCCCAACTTGCTTTAGAATAAGAGGAAAAGTGGAGAGAGATCACGGGAGATGATCAAAGACACAGGCACGGCGGGTCCTTCCAGAACTTAGGACAGGACGCTGGTCTTCAGTCAGTACCCCTGTCCAGAGGCTCCCCTGGGGCAGGAGTGGGTCACTCTGCTCGGATGCACCAGGCCTGCACTGGGCCTGGCATAGAGCCGGTGCTCTGAGAATATCTGCAGACCAGCTGGGAGTGTGGGTGAGCGCCGGCAGGATTCCCCTCCAGCGCGCTGTCCTGTGGGGCCAGGCTGCAGCTGGCTGGGACAGTTCTGCCATTATTCTAACTATCTGGAGCCTGGACCTTGCACGGGGCCTTGCTGAAGCACTCAGCAAACTCTTACTCATCAGCCACATGATCACCGGGAGGGGACTCTGAGTGTGCCCAGGTCACACGAGGAAATGGAGACAGAGTCAGGGGAGCCTTCCTGATGCCACACAGCAAGGTGACGGTGCAGTACAAGGGGACCGGGAATCTCAATGAGCAAACATGGGGGAGCTCGCAGGGCCCGCGGGGGAAACTCTGCCCCCGCCCCCCACATGTCTCTCACAGGCCCAGTCAGATGCCGCAGCAGACAGGGTAGATGCCGAGGCAGCTCGGCCCTGAGCGGAGTGTATCCCAGGAAGGACACACAGGCTGGGAGAGCTGCGAGGGGCTCACCCCCCTCTGGGCCAGGTCCGAGTGGCAAGTCACAGTGAGTTGCCATTTCAGAATGGTCAGACCCCACATCTCTTCCGTCACTTGTACCTTCTGAGGCCAAAATAGAGCCTTGGGTGGGAAGGGAAGTGGTGGTGCCAGAGGTTCCCAGAGGAGGGGCCCCTCCCTCTGGAGAATCATTCCCGTCCCCAGACTCTGGATAGGGGCGTGCACCAGCCACAGTGGCCACCATCACCACCATCACCGTCTCCACCACCATCTCAACCACCATTACCATCTCCACCACCATCACCATCATCACCACCATCACCATCTCCACAACCATCATCACCACCATCACCATCACCACCATCTCCGTCTCCACCACCATCTCCACCATCTCTACCACCTCCAGCATCGCCACCTCCACAACATCCCCAGCTCCCAACCCTGAGAGGTTGTCTGGTGGGGTAGGTGAGAAACCCAGACTATTAAAAGATGCTTCCATAGGCTAGTCCAGAAAAGGTCAGTGTGCCCACGAGTCACCCTTGCTCCAAGACAGGTGCCAAAGCAATGGGCTAAGAGAAGGAAATGGAAAGGATGAGGGGAGATGAGTGTCATTTGCAGATGTTCCAGGTGTTGGGCTGGGAAACCCAAGAGAACCTGCGGCAAAGCTATTACACAAAAAGCAAATGAAGGGCAGGGGCAGATGGGGCTGGAGCGATAGTACAGAGGTCAGGCATTTGCCCTGCATGTGACCGAGTCCGGTTTGATCCCCGGCACCACACGGTTCCCCCAAGCGTCTCCTGGAGTGACCCTGAGCACCAAGCCAGGAGTAAGCCCGACATACTGCCAAAACCAGACAAACAAGTATTCTTTCTATTAATCTAGAATTTTAATGTGATCCCAAGAAAAATCCCAAAAGGAATTTTTTTTTTTAAGTAGGCAAGTCAGTTTAGAGTAAGGCTGGGAAGGTGGCCCCATGGCCGAGGGAACGTAGAAAATATTTTGAGAGGAGAGGAAATCGATTTATGCGAAGTTGGAAGGTACACAGCAAAGAGGAACTGGCGGGGAAACTGAAGCTAAAAATGCCTCTACCAGAAAGAAGCTTCCAAGGGCTGGAGAGAGAGTACAGCGGGTAAGCTCTTGCCTTGCATGCGGCTGACCCAGGTTCAATCCCTGGCATCCCGCAGGGTACCCAGAGCACGACCAGGAATGATTCCTGACCTCACAGCTGGAGTAACCCCTGAGCACTGCCAGTGTGGAACCCAAATCAAAATAAATCTTTTTTTTTTAAAGAAGAAGTCGCTCCCAAATCATCATAATAACATAATCTCCTACTGAATAAGCAGGCTAAAGAGGTGCAAATTAAATCGAGCAAGTAAAAGGAAGGTAATAAGCAGTATTAGAGCAGAAATTAACAAAGGGCAGTTGTTAACAGTGAACAGTCAATAAAATCAAAAGCTGGTTATTTTAAAAGATTGTCAAAACTAGCAAATTTTAGCTAGACTGACTGAGGGCAAAAAAAAAAGAAAGAGATTCAAATGACAAAAATCAGGAATGACAGAGAGGGCATTCCCGTCGGTCTTACAGGCATAAGATTATAAGAGCTGGGATGTGACTCAAATGACAACAATGCCCCGTTCAGTCCCAGCACCCACCTGCCCGCCTCACCGCCAGCACCACAAGGTGTAGCCTTGGAAGCACCTGAGCACCACCCAGGGTCCCTTGAGCCATCCCTCACTAAAAGATTATGAAAGAATGCTACAAACAATGCCGTGCCAATGAATGAAATCACCTGGATGAAAGCAACAAGCTCCTAGAAAAACACAAACTAAGAGGAAGAAAACAAGATGAGGAGGAAGGAAAGCACAGAGTAGCCTCTGAGCACCACCGGGTATGAGCCCAAACCCCAAAATCAGACGCAGCGCCCCGTACCACCAGAATACACTTACTGCAAATCACCTAATGATCTCACAGAGGTACAGAGACTGCATGGCAGAACACTCAACAAACTAAGAATAGGGGCCGGAGTGATAGTACAGTGGGTAGGGCGTTTGCCTTGCACGTGGCCAACCTGGGTTCGATCCCTGGCATCCCATGTGGTCCACCAAGCACTGCCAGGAGTAATTCCCGAGTGCAAAGCCAGGAGTAACCCCTGAGCATCGCTGGGTATGACCCAAAAAGAAAAAAAAATTAAGAATAGAGGACTAGAGAGATAGCTTGCCTTGCACACAGCCAACCTGGGTTCAATTCCCAGCACCCCATATGGTCCCCAGCACACCACCCCGAGCATAGAGCCAGGAGTAAGCCCAGAGCACTGCCAGGCATGATGCTTAAACAAAACAAATTAATGGAAATTTCTTTAACCTGATGAAACACGCACATAAAACATCATATTGGTGAGAGACTGGATGCATTCCCCCAAGACCTGGCACAAGACAAAGATGTTCATTCTCCCCACTTCTATTCTACAGTGTACTGGAGGTGACAGCACAGGTAATATGAAAAGAAAATGATTTATTTTTAAAGGCGCTCATATCGGAAAAGAAGAAATAAAACTGTATTTGCAGATGACATGAGCCTGTATATAAAAAATCCTAACGATGCCACTAAGAAAATTATTAGAAGTAGTAAATGAGCCCAGAAAGGTGCAAGATCAATATACAGAAATAAATTATTTAGGGACAGCAGGTAAGTTGCTTGGCTTGCATGAGGACAACCCAGATTCATCCCCAGTACCCTATTTGGTCCCCCAAGCCCACCAGAAGTGATCCCTGAACTCAGAGCCAGGAGTAAGCCCTAAGTACCAATAGGCATGACCCCCAAAATAAAATAATAAAATAAATTAATAAACTATTTCTAAAATTGACAGTGAACAATGAAAAATTAATATTAAGACAAGAACACTTAAGAATAAGGCTAGCAAGCCATAAGAAACCCCCAGCTGGCGCCAGATAATCGGGTCATCAGCCACCATCCAGATCACTTGTCCTTCTCTCCCAGAAGGGAGCACAGCATGCCGCTCGACATAACTATGCTGCTGGACCCCACGCCAGGCTGTTTCACTGGGGGCGCCCCAGAGGGGGAATGGGTGAGACCCCTCCCCTCTCCAAGGGACCCAGCCCCAGGAGCTGAAAACCTCCAGAATCCACCATGCCCACGGCTGCTCTCCACATACTCGGGCCGAGCACCACCCACAAGTGAATCTATTCCTGGACACTTTAAAGACACACTCTATCCATACTCCAAGAGTACCACACCACATTTGATGAAATTCAAAGTAGGAGTCAATCAACCTTAGAAGGAAACATTATATTATTTTACTTCTGATTTGGGGCAGGGGTTGGAGTTCGGAATAGAAACACCCGAAATAATGTGGTTAGAAGGTATAATGGTGGTGGGATTGGTGTTTGAATATTAAATGTAATCAAATATTGTGAACAACTTTATAAAACTGAAAAAAAAGAGAGAGAGAATAAGGTTAGCAAAAAGTAGCACAGTAAAATCTGCACTCTGAAAACTTGAAAGGAAAAGTTGAAAGGAAGGGCTATACAAATGGAAAGGAAAACTAAACATGGATAAAATGGCATGATGTGCCCGAATTAAACTAGGAAGTAAAAACAATTCCTATCAAAATCCCAGCTGGTAGGCCGGAGAGAGGACAAAGGCTAAGGCGCCTGCCCTCCTGTGGCGGTGACCACTGCCAGGTCAGTCCCCAGCCCCTCACGGTATCAGTCCCTCCAGCCCTGCCAGGACTGATCCCTGAGCACAGTGCCAGCCACAGACCCCGAGCACCCTCGGGTATAGCCCAGAAGCATAAACACAAATACCAGTTAATTTCTTGCAAAATAATGAGAAACTGATTATAAAATTCATATGGGAAATCAAGACACCCAGAATTGCCAAAGCCATCCTGAAGAAGAAAAATAATGGGGCTGGAGTGATAGCACAGTGGGCAGGGTATTTGCCTTGCACGCGGCCGACCCGGGTTCAATTCCCAGCATCCCATATGGTCCCCCAAGCACCGCCAGGAGTGATTCCTGAGTGCAGAGCCAGGAGTAACCCCTGTGCATTGCCAGGTATGACCCAAAAAGAAAAAAAAAGGAAAAGAAACACAACATTTGAGGGTTGCAAGGTCTTCATTTCAAAATGAGCTGTCATCAAGACTGTGGGATCTAGGTACAGGGATGAGCATATATAAACCACCAGGCAGACGACCTGAGGGCCCAAACATCAACCCTCACTTTCACAGTCTCTTGATTTTTTTTTTCTTAACAGGGGAATCAAAACAATTCAGTGGAGAAAGAACAAATGGTGCTGAAACAACCAGATATCCATATGCAGAAGAAGGAAGTTGGATACCTTCCTCAAATCCTGCACAAGTATTTAACTCAAAATGGACCTCAAGGAGCTGGAGTGATAGTAAAGCAGGTAGGGTGTTTGCCTTGCAAGCGGCAGACCCAGGTTTGGTCCCCAGCACCCCATATGGTTCCCCGAGCACTGCCAGGAGTAATTCCTGAGTGCAGAGCCAGGAGAAATCCCTGAGCATCGACAAGTGTGACCCAAAAAGACATATATATAGATATATATATATGTGTATATATATATATATAAAATAGGATCACAAGCCTAAAATGTCTGCCATCACTGAATCCAAATTCTTCTAGGGAAACAAGGCATGAATTTTGCCACCTTGTAGTACAATGATTTCTTAGCTAGGACACCAAAAGCAGAAGCAACAGAAGGAAAGATAGGCAGGACTTAGTTGAAATGAAAGACTTTTGAGTCCCAAAGGAGGATGCCACAAAGAAAGCAAAAGGGAAGTCCAGTCCAAGTGTCAGTTCCAGAACAGGGAATAAAAATGCTATGAGCCTCACTTCTTAGATTCTAAATTTCACAAGGATTTTTCTAATTAATCTTATCAATTGTAAGAAAGGTACTGGAGCTGTAGAACTTTTTTTTTGTATGTGTGCAGGGGGGCCACATCTGTTTGTGCTCAGAGCTTAACTCTTGGCTTTGTGCTCTCATTCCTGTGACCAGGCCCTTATGGGGTGCCAGGAATTGAACCTGGATTGACCACATGTAATGCTAGCATTGTATTTGCTGTACTGTTTCTCAAAATGTTTCGAGTTTCAATTTTGTCTAAAATAAATTGACATGATGGTTTTTAGCTGATAATGGGGGAAAAAAAAGAAAGAAAGCAAAGCACTTGCCTTGCACGTGGCCAATCTGACTGACCCAGGTTTGATCACTGGCACCCTGTCTGGTCCCCTGGCACTGCCAGAAGTCATTCCTGAGTGCAGAGCCAGGAATGAGCCCTGGGGACTGCTGGGCGTGGCCCTAAAACCAACACTAAAATCAAACTGACAACCCACAGAAAGGGGAAAATGTCTGCAAACCATTTACCTGCTAAGGAACTTGTATGGATATATATGTGTATGTACACACACATATGTGTAATAAAGAACTATATCTTGAGGCTGCAGAAATAGTACAGTGGGGTAGGCACTTGCCTTCCACAGGGCCGATCAGATTCGATTCCCAGCATCCCACATGGTTCCCTGAGCACCACCAGGAATGATTCCTGAGCGCAGAATCAGGAATAACCCCTGGGCACCACCAGGTGTGACCCAAAGCAGGCAAAAAAGAAGTATAGCTATATAAAATATATAAACAATAACAGAGACAAATAACCTAAAAATTGAGTTGTGGAGAAAGGGACACACCCAGCAGTGCTCAGGGTTTACTCCTGTCTCCTGTGCTCAGGGGTCATTCCTGGTGGTGCTCAGGGTACAAAATGTGGTGCCAGGGATGGTACCAGGGTCAGCCACATGCAACGCAAGCGCATTACCTGCTGTCCAGCCCAAACAACTTAACTTTTAAAATGTGGGTGGAGGATTTGAATAGACATTTCTCTAAAGAAGGCATACAAAGAAGGGTTGGGAGGAGAATTTCCAGGCTACAGCAGGTGGGGTCCCTACCCTTGACCCTGGGCACCGCCCGGTGTCCTGAGTACCACTAGGAGCACCCTCGACAATAGCCCACGTTCCACTGAGCATGCCCCCAGCTCAAAAAAAAAAAAAAGGGGTGGTACACAAATGACCAATAACCACATGAACACAGCCTCCCCATCATTAGTCATTAGGGAAATGCAAATCAAAACCGCAATGAGTACCTCTTCACACCCACTAGGATGGCTATAATTAAAAAGACAGATAATAACAAATTGTTGGCAAGGAACGAGGAGAAACTGAAAGCATCAGACAATGCTGGTGGGACTAGAAAACGGTGTGGTGCTTTGGGAAACGGGCGGGCACATCTTCCAAAGGTCAAACATAAAGTTATCATATGACCCCAAAGTTCCGTTTCAAGGTACAACCCGAGAGAAAAGAAAAACATATCCGGGGCCAGAGAGATAGCAGAGTGGGAAGGGCTCTTTTCCTGGCACACGCCCGACTAAGGTTCGATCCTGGCATGATCCCATATGACCCCTGAGCCCTGCCAGGAGTAATTCCTGAGCACAGAGCCGGGAGGGAGTGGCCCCTGATCATCATCACAGGGTGTGATCCCAACACTAAAAAGAAAAAGAAACCATATCCACAGACAGAAAAGTTGCACATGGCAGCATTATTCATAAGAGCCAAAAAAAAAAAGAGAGAGAGAGAGAGAGACAAGATAGACCCATTCATTGACAAGTGAATGTGGAATCTCCATATAAGGAAATATTGCTCCTCAAGAAAAGGCAAGAAAGTGCTGATACATGCCATGACATGGGAAAATCTTGAAAGGGCGATATTGGGGGGGGGAGGAGGAGGGGGAGAACCATCACAGCTGGTACGATCCCACATTCGTGAAGCATCCACAGGAAACAAAGTCGCCGAAACAGAAAGTAAATCAGTGTCGGCCTGCGGCTGGGGCAGGAAGGTCTGAGGGGAAATGAGGAGTGATGGGTTACCTCACTCTGTGGGGCAGACTCAAAATGCTCTGAAAAGGATCGTGGTGGTGGTTTCACAATTCTGAGTAACTGAAGAATCCCGCCAGCGCACGCTTGAGTGGCAGAATCACACGGTCCGTGAAATCAGATCTCAATAAAAGCTGATCTAATTTTTTTTAAGAGCTACTATTCATCCCTTAGATTGGCCAAGACCCCCAAGTCCTACAGCACCCTGCATTACTGAGAGTGAGGGGGCCCGGGGGGTGGGTGGGCGGGCATCTAGCAGGATGATCTGGCAAATCCATCAGAGCGACGACGGCTGCCCACGGCCCCTGAGCCTGCCGTGTGGGGTGTGCTTCGGAGGAAGCCTCACGCCTCAGCCCTTCGCGTGTGTTGGGGGCTCTGGAGGGAGGAGGGGTCAAAATCAAGACTGGAAATAACCAAAAGGGTCCTTAGGCAAAACCGTCTCCACCCACACAATAAAAACTACACCATCAGGAAAGAGAACGTGGCACAAAATGACTTCCGAGGTCCAGAGAGAACAGGGTGGAGAACAGGTTACACCAAATCCTCAAACTTCAGAGAGGTTTGAACCTACACAGTCCCTGACTGACGCAGGGGACTCTCCCCCGGCGCCTGCCTCTGACAAGGAGACTCAGGCGCGAGAGACTGACCACTCCTCGACTTCTTTGCAATTGTTTCCTGTTGCAAGGATCAATGTTTTCTCTTTCATTAAAATTACTCAGGAGTAATTCCTGAGTGCAAGAGCCAGGAGTAACCCCTGTGCATCACTGGGTGTGACCCAAAGAGAAAAAAAAAACCAATAAACAGAAAAACCAAAACCCCAGGCTCACCTGGCTTCAAATCCTGCTTCGCCCTCTCATAGCTGGGAACGTCACTTCACTTCCCTGAGCCTCTGTGTTCTGCGAAGAGAAGAACAATAGGGATGACATCGAGGCCAGAGTGATGGTACAGTGGGTAGGGCACTTGGCTTGCATGCCGCCAGCTGGGGTTCGATCCCTGGAAGGTCCCTGTAAACTACCAGGAGTGAGCCCTGAGCACCACTGGGAATGACCCCAAAATCAAAATAATAACAAAAAAGCGGGTAGGGTGTTCGCCTTACACGCGGCCAACATGGCCGACCCGAGTTCGATTCCTCCGCCCCTCTCGGAGAGCCGGGCAAGCTACCGAGAGTATTCGATATGCCAGACACAGTAACAACAAAGTCTCCAATGGAGACGTTACTGGGCCCGCTCGAGCAAATCGACGATCAACGGGAGGGCCTTTACCTTTACCTTTACCTATCTTGCAAGACTACGGTGGAAGAGGCCATCAAACTCTCGAGCAGAGAGCCAGCACCTTCACCTGCCTGGCTCCTACAAGCGCCTGGTCCTTACTGGCTATTAGCAGGTCACTTGGGGACTGGAGCGATGGCCCAGGGGACAGGAGTGGATGCAGAAGGTACAGTATGATTCCTGGCACCACTGGGTGCCCCGAGCACCAGCAGGCCTGGCCCAAAAGACTAAACACGTCACAAGTTAGAGGCCACCAAAGACCCTCAGATCAAGGACTTAGAACACTTTCTCAGTGGGAGAAACCCAGGAGGGCTTCCTGGAAGAGACAAGGAATTCAACTCGTAGAGATGACTGGACAGTGCGCCTGGATGCGGGAGCTTGCCAGCAAAGATCTAGCTGTAACAAAGCCCTTTGTGGGGGGTTATTACTCCTTGTGTGCTCGAGAGCTCCGTCATCAATGCTCAGCAGAGCACCCTCCCTGAAGCAGGGCAGTGGGGAAGATGGAGTAAACAGCTGCCAGGTGCAAGAAGACCTGAGGAAGGGCCGGGATCGAGCACTGAGAGTGCACAGCAGGGAGAGGAGGTTGAGAGGCACAGCCCCTCCCCCCGCCCCCAGGCACACAACAGCCCCGCCTCTGACATGAGCCTTCTGGCTCCACGCACTCCACAGGGCTGACCGGGTGAGGAAGGACTGGCCAGAAGATGGACACAGGTTCACAGATCCACGGAGGGGGCCACCACAAGGAGGGACAAGGGATCCCAGACGGTGCCAGTGGGTTGCGCCACAGACCCCAGAGTGGCTGCGCGCCCAGGGGAACCCACCATAGCCGTTGGGACCAGCACCATTTGCAGTGAGGAAACTGAGGCGCAGAGAGGTCAAAGGTCACACCGCCCATCGGAGACAGAATCAGCAAGAGACTAGGACTGCCTGTGCTCTACAGCCTGCTGCCCCAGGGCCCTCCCCTACCCGGCGGGGCCTCACTCCGGAACACACCCCCTCGCCCAGGGGCCCCAGGTAGCAAGATTGTCATCTGTGTCCTGGTAACAGTGTAACAGTGGCCTGAGCTGGGGGCAGGGGGTGTGTACGAGGCCCGCTGTCAGGCCCCTCCTGTTCTGGAGGTGCTGAGCCAGGTCGGGTGCAGCTTCGGGGTTCAGGGGAACCCTGCCACGCCCACAGATTCTAAGCAAGTCCCCCAGAAGCCTCTTTCTGGACTGTGGAGTTGCCCCGGCCCCTGGGACAGGCCCCGGGGTCCTGCAACTTTGCCCTTGGTCCAGCTGAGTCTTGGTCTGCACCAGGGCCCTAGATGGCCCCCAGACGGGAAGCACAGGATCAGAGAAGCCCAGAGAGTGTCCTGGCTACATCCCAGACAGCAGAGGGGGCTCGCCACGGACCCCTCGGCCCCAGCCCACCTACAGCCCGGGGTGGGGACATTCTGAGGGAGCACGGTGGGCCCCAGAGCGACTTCAAGCAACGAGCATGGGGGCTCAGAGCAGCCAAGGCTGGTCCCCCTGGACACCTCCCGTCTCACTGGCCCAAGGGCACTGGTCCTGCACAGCAGGGGAGCTGAGGCTAGAGGTGGGAGAAGGGGTCCCGCCCTACGTACCCGCTTCAGAGAGGGGGGCTACAGCCCCCAGGATGGATGCTCCCGGGCAGCATCCCTCGGGCCCCTGTAGAAGCATGGCCTTCCGGGGCTAGAACGATAGCACGGGTAGGGCGTTTGCCTTGTACGTGGCTGACCTGGGTTCGATTCCCAGCATCCCATATGGTCCCCTGAGCACTGCCAGGAGTAATTCCTGAGTGCAGAGCCAGGAGCAACCTCTGAGCATCGTCGGGTGTGACCCAAAAAGAAAAAAAAAAGCACAGCCTTCCCCACAAGGGGTGAGGAGGCCCACGTGGACAGGAGCACTTGGCTTCCCAACAAGGTCCAGGGGTGAGAGCGATGTGAGGAGGCCAGCAGTGACCATGGCTCAGGGCCACCCTGCTTCCTCCCAGCCAGAGCAAGAGACACAGCGGCAGCCACAGTGGGACGACGCAAACGGCTGGAACATCTCTCTAACAGAAGGCTAGGGCCGGAGGGATAGGAGAGTGGGGGGTGGGGGCGCTCGCCTTGCACACAGCCGACCGGGTTCGAGCCCCAGCATCCCATAGGGTGCCCCCAAGCACCATCAGGAGTAACCTCTGAGTATCAGTGGGTATGGCCTCAAAACCAAAAAATTTAAATTTAAAAAAATAAAGTGGAGATCTAGGGGTCAGACAGACTCAGGGGCCAGAGAGATAGTACAGTGGGTAGTGCTTCTGCCTTGCATGAGGCTGACCTGGGTTTGATTCCAGCACCTCATTCTATTACCTCAGACTGTCCCTGTGTACTGCCAGGAGAGGTTCCTGAGTGCAGAAACAGAAGTAACCCCTGGGCATCTCTGGGTGTGGCCCCAAAACAAAAACAGTTAACTAATTAAGAGACAGCGCCAGGGCAGCCTCATTCCAGAGTCTGATGATGGGGTGCCTTCCACAGAAGGCCTTCAACCAGGCCTTCTGGAGCAACCAGCCTACATCCACAAGAGGGAAAGAGGGGAGGGAGGAAAGCTGGGCCCCCAGGAAGGACCTGAGGGCATCTAGAGCATTTGCAAGACTCCTGGAGGCAGCGCAGGAGGAGCAGCATGTGCAAAGGCCCTGGGGCCGGATGGGTTCCCTGCTTAACTGGGTCAGCCCTTGGTCCAGCAGGAAGAGGTCCGAGAGACCCTAGGGGTGACCTATCTAGCAATCTAGATCACGAAGACCAAAAATGCTGTGGAGTGGCTATGAAATTTTCTCAGGTCCCTGACAAAGGTCAGGGCACAGACAGACCCCACCCCCACCCCCACTTCCCTGAGCAATCCTGCCAGAACACAGAAATCTCCAGCTCCGGAGAGCTGCAGGGGTCAGGGGAGTCACCTAAAACACGGTGGACTTCCCAGGGGAGAGGGCATCTCAAGAGAGGTGTAGAGAGGGTGGGGGGCTGCGGACAGGCAAAGGCTTGGAGGGGCACCTCTAGAGAAAGGCCATGAGTCAGGCAGTCTGTCCCCCGCAGCCAAAGGGGGAAAGACGGGTGCCTGGTGGGCAGCCCCTTCCCACGCCCGCCCACCAAGGCCCGCGCCCCGGCTGGCACACACAGGGAGGGCTGGTGGCTCTGCAGCCCACAAGGGTGCCCGGCGGACGGGGAGCTCAGCAGCCCTGGCCACCTTTCACCACCAATATGCCACCCCCTCCCCGGCCACGGCCACCAGCTTCTCCCCAAGCCCCGGGCACACCAGGAGGAGCAGCAAGGCCCCGCGGAGGGCGGCCAATCACCCTAATCAGGAACCCCCGGGAGGCACCCCCATTCACAGACAAGGATGTCGAGCAAGGCTCGGAGAGGCAGCCCACCCCCCCCAGAGCACGAGGCTGAAGGGAAGCTCGAGGAGGGCACCCTGGCCCCACGGGACCCACGGACCGGGCCGTCCTGGGGACACAGGCCGGCCTCCGCTGGCCAGCCCAGTTGGCGCCACTACTGGGAGACCGCAGGGGAACCCCAAGGGGCCAAGCTTGCGCTCTCCCAGGCTCCCGGCAGGATGCTGGCTGGGGGGAAGGGGGGTGGAGGGTTATGGGGGGGGGGAGGGCGCCAGCCAGCCCCTGCCCAGGCGGCACAGAGCCTCCTGCCAGCAGCTCTGGCGGCTCCTCTGCTCGTTCGGGAACACACAGTGTCCCCCGCCTGCCCACGTCTGCGCAGCAGCTCCCCCGGGGACACGGGTGGGCAGGCGCACCCGGCGGCCAGGCCTCTGCACGAGGCCCCCTCACCACCCCTCCTCCAAGCCCAGGAGCCCTCCCTTCCATTCCAAGCTAACCTCTCAGCCTTCAGGCAAGCCCTCTCCTCCCTGTCAGGGGGATAAAGGGTTGCACTTGCGAGAGTCAAACCCAGCTCTGGCCTAGACTTGCTGTGTGGCCTTGGCAACGTTACCCATCTCTCTGTGCCTCCATAAACTCGCATTAAAAAAACTGTTCTGTTGTTCAGCGATTTGCTCGAATGGGCCCAGTAACGTCTCCATCATGAGATTTGTTGTTACTGTGTTTGGCACATCAAATACGTCACGGGTAGCTTGCCAGGCTTTGCCGTGCAGGAAAGATACTCTCAGTAGCTTGCTGGGCTCTCCAAGAGGGGCGGAGGAATTGAACCCAGCTCGGCTGGGCTGGCTGCGCGCAAGGCAAATGCCCTACCGCTGTGCTATCACTCACATCAAAACGAAAAAGAAAAAAAAAAGGAGATAGGAGGCCGATGGCACAGCCGGTAGGATGTTTGCCTTGCATGCAATCAACCAGGGTTCGATTCCCAGCATCCCATCCCTGAGCACTGCCAGGAGTGATTCCTGAGTGCATGAGCGAGGAGTAACCCCTCAACATAGCTGAGTGTGACCCAAAAAGCCAAAAAAAAAAAAAAGATGAGTCAAAGAGTCAGTACAGTGAGTAAGCCTTGCAGGTGACCAACCAGATTAAAACTCTGGCACAGTCAGTTCCCCAAGGACAGTCAGGAGTGATCTCTAAGCACAGCACACAGCCAGGAGTAAGCTAAGTACTGCCAGGTGTGCCCCCAAAACCGAAAATAAATACCTGTTTTT